ATGGATCTCGAATCACCAGATTGGGACCGCAGTCCATCCCTCATTGAAGAGGTCAAAGCAGACCCATACACCACACCGGCTGTAAAACAGGAAAACATTAAGCTCGAAGACGTCAAACTTGAAGACGTCAAGCAAGAGGACGCAGCATCCACAGCGCTTGTCCTCACCACACCGCCGGCATCCACCACTTCCGCACTACCACCACCACCGAAGACACCACCTATTCTTCCTCCATCTCATCGCAACCGCTCTACCCGCACTACAGCCCTCACTCAGCAACAACCTCGCGCGACCACTCACCACGCGGGCAGCAAACCACCTCCACCGCGACCCCCACCCTCCACCTCCTCTTCTACCAGCAGTGAAGACCCAGTCATTCTCACCAGGAGGCTCCGAGGCTTGAGTTACACATGGGTGTTCGAGTAGAGAGAGCATCACAGCCGAGATCACAAAGTTCCGTGGCATGTTAATTGGCCACACCCTTTGAAACCCTGACATGTGCTTTGCCGTGCGTACACTTCTTGATTTGTGCCGCTAAAATCTTCACCTGGTTCTGTCATGGTTGTTGGCCATGACACTGGCGAACACTGAGCTCCGCTTTACCATGAAGTGGCCCAAAGCTGAACAGAAAGGCGAAGAGTCAGAAACAATATAGTTTAAATCACCCCTACGATTGACGAAGAGCTCAGCTAAAAAAACTGAGTCAGTTAGTGAAATTTAGGTGCAAAGTCCCGTTCCAAACCTCCCGAACAGGGGTTCACCCTTTACGCTCTTCTATTTCGGACCTCAATGACTTGAGCCGTGTGTTTTCGGTGGCCGTGTGTTTTCGAGGAAATCGTTTTTGTTCATTGTGGCTCTAAGAACTGAACCGTTTTCTGCGAACACACACACACACACCCCTCACATGTACATGGTTCAGGATATTGGTGGAGGGAAACGTGTTTCACATGTCAAACATTCCATATCATTCCATACATTCGTTCACGCGCCTTTTCTCATGGCAGCTGACTGCTCGATCCAGCCGGGCTGCTCAGTTCAAGCCCCGGAATCGCATGACTCATTGCATGCAAATGTTTTCCCATTGCATTGCCAAAAACAAAGTGAACCGTTGGAAGAACCGCTGGAGCACATTGCTCCCTGGACATCCACTGGCCAAACGGGTCAACTTACCTAGCATGTCCTCCTCTGCAAGCGTTTTGTGGTTGCGAATGTTTTCATCGCTGAATCGCAGGCCCACCACCATGTGAGCAAACGAATGCCTCACTTGGCGCAAACACAAACCACCCCAGCTAGGATCTTCCCAGACACCATGTCCAGAAAAAATCACCAGGGGAAAACTTGGACCAACCTGAGCCAATTAAAACTAGACACATTTTGGGCCTGAGCTTGTTCATGCGAGAACTGTGCAAATTGCGGAATGCTAACTCTGCATATGCATCCAAAAAAGTTTGCCCAGACTCTTCCCCACGCTTTTGAAGGATTGACCCTAGCCTCAGTGCAGGCCTGTCAGTGACAAAGAGGAAGTCACACATCCCCCAAAGTGCCCGTGCACGAAGATCATTTTCGACTCCTCAGATCATGGTGGGAGACCAGGTTTCAGATATCAAAAACAAAAGAGCTTTGCCTTATAAGTAGAAATAGAAGAGCCGAACCCCTGCTCGCGAGGTTTGGACCGGGACTTTGCACCTATCTATTTGGCGGGGCGCCACAGAAAGAAAGGATTACTTCTTCTCAGAGGCACCTGGCTCTTTGTTTCCCACCTCTGTAGCAACAGAACTGATGAAGAACAATATTGGTTTCATGTGGGCTGCCTTGACGTTCGAGTCAACAACAGGATATTTGCTTTTGTCATCATTCTCACCTCTTCCGATGAGATGCAGATTCCAAGTGCATGGAGGGATGTCAAGCTTCTTGCGTTTGCACCACCGTCTAAACGCAACACCAATTCTATTGAGAAGCGCATCCCCTTTGCAGTCGACTTCAAGAGTCACACCCATCAATGCATCCAAGTGAGCCCCCGTACCAATCCAAGAACTCAGCAAATTCTTCTCTACCTCATGGCGGTTGCACCAGCTTCGCGGCGCCGGTGCGTCACAGGTTTTTGTTTCCCTGCAAAAACTACTAAACAAAACTATTCAGGTTCAGTTTTGAGACCAGGTGCAAAATCCCAGAGAACACTTGCCGCAAGGTCTTTGCCCACCCCAAGATGCACAGTATGGGCAACATCCCAACGAACCCGGCTGATGTCAAACCCGGGCACAGCCATCCAAGGAGTCTGTTTTGACTCTGGTGTAGATTGCACATAGCACGCATGGTCACGAATGGTGGAAATCCAAGGCGCTTTAGGACTGAAATTGGTGAAGATGAGCGGCAACAACTCATCCGGGGTCTTCTTGAAAGGTTTGATTGCATCACATTGGTCACACAACCGCATGCTCAAACAATTCCTTTTGACAAACTCATGAGAGAGGTGCCTCTCTTTCCAATCCCCAGCCCAGGCCTCAAACCCTGCTCGCCATCCTCCGCAGATCAGCTGGCCTCCTTTCAATGCCCGTTTGCCCAGCAGCGGCGAATCAAACTGGTCGAGAACAGGGAACCGACCTTCCAATAGACTGCAACCTCACAGAACATGAACTGGTTGGTTGAGTCGGTTGAATCCTTTTTCATGCGACACCACGCCTACTACAAAAACAAACGGTTTAAGGTCACATGTGGCCTAGGAGCAATCCCACGCAATTGCCTTCACAATAGCACGGTTGGCCTTCGCTCTGAGCTGATGGGTTGGGAGAAGCCTCATGGGGATACAAGCAAATGGCATTTTTGTATTCCAGGTAGTTTGAGCTAACGCCGATGACCAAAGCCAGATCAGCATCTCATGGTTGGTATTAAACTCCGCACCGTCCGTAAAGAATTTCACCTCGGCGCGCTTAAGGTGAAAGATGGCAGTTCATGTAACATTGACTTCTTTTTTGGCTTGAAACATGGAGGGTCTTTTGTTTTTGGATTCTCTGCATGGGCCCTGTTCCCAACACTGCGCGCTGCCCAGGCACTGGAATGGTGGCGCTTTCCAGACCCAACCTTTGCGCCGCAAGGAGCTATAGCGCGAGAGAGAACGAGACAGGTAAAGAAGTGATGTTTTCAGTAGAAACATAAAAATGAAAACTGCCATAGGCATACCAGAACACACTTTCACAGGGTGATCATGGGCCCACGCTTGTTGAGACCAAAACTCCGCACATTTACCAGCTGTTGCTCCCACAACGGTATCCCACAAAGTCTTGTGTCTTCGCCGGTAGATGGCGTTTAGCGCATCACTGGCAAGCAGGAGTGGTATCTCCTTTTCAACAACTTTCCCAAGGTTGGGATCAAACACTTCTATGCTTGTGGAATGAGTCTCCAATTCAGATTGAAATGCAAAAGGCATCCACCGATGTAGGTCACGTTCACAGTTCTGCATGTGCCGCCCCCATGCTGCCAAACTGGCTATGTCTCGGACTGTTGTCTCACATAGCCCATCTTGGCAGGCAGCAGCAGCATATCGCTGGGCTGCACTGACATGTATTTCCTCAGAGACGCATTGAATTAAAGGAGATGGATGGGATTTCATGTGGGTTAAGCCACTGCGTTTCTGGGGAACCTTTGATGGGGAGTGTATGCACCCACAAAAGGATTTGTTGTATAACCTGCCAAAGAGGTGCACCTCGAGAGATGTCGAAAAGAAGTTCCTTTGCCAGAGCCCCTCCAGGACGGTCGGTTCGCTGCCGCCTCGAAGACTGATGAGGCTGGCCTGGCTCGCGGGTCTTTTTGCAAGGTGTCGCATAAGTTACACAGACATAGAACACTTGTTGAGTTGATCTCCAACCGCTTCCAGAGTGCATGACCACAACCACATCGTGTTTTCCACTTTCGCTCGCCTTGAGAGTGTTCTACCCCAGATGACCAGTGGCCAAAACTTGATCCCTACACATCACTCACTGCCGGAAGCTTAAGAGTGAAGTGAACCCAAATTGAAAGACAGGAGGTGACGAAACAAACCATCAATGTTCTACGGGATGGTTTGCAGATGTACTGCGATGAACAAATTATGTTTTTGAAGTGCTAAATACCGCCATCCTCCAAACTGCTAGATACACTAGTCCTAGGCTAGTCCTAGGCGGCACTCTTCATGCTCTTTGCAATCTTCTTCCTGGCTTTATACCAAGAGGAATATGAAGTAGCCTTGGAAATCAAATCAGCGTAAGCCTCATCCGTGTTCACCCCTGCTGTTGTCAGCTTGGAAATGTCCTTGAAGAGCCCAGTCATTGCACCAGCATGGGCTGTCAGGGCAGAGACCAGCTCCTTGCTGCATTCCAGCCCGTCGATGCTGATGCACAAGGTGCGCGCTTCTTCAGCCTCTTTCAACCTTGGTGGATTGAGAAAGGCCAAACATCAAATTGATGGAACCTGGGCATCACAAACATGGTTGAGGGTTGAGGGAAGCAAAAACATTGCCTTTTGTTCACAGTGAGAAACACGCTCCTTGCTAGCGCTTTGGCTTTGTCCAAGGGGGTCACAGGAACTTCAGGTTTTGCAGGCGGAGGCGGAGGAACTTGAGAATTCTCACCATTCTTTTTGGTCTTGCGCCGCCTGCCCTTCCCCTCAGGCTCGGCCGTGTCCGCCCCACCACCGCCCACACCAGGAGCACCATTTCCTGAACCAGCTCCAGCGCCCAACGCGTCCGGATTCACAGTGAGCATGGAGGGATGCTGCAAAGCGGGAGCATTCGACATGTGCAGGTCACTGCCTGACATGCAAAAGTAGCTAAATCCCAAGCGCTGTCTTTTTTCGATTTTAGAAATCCTATTTGGCTTGTGGGTAAAGAGTTGAAGTGTCTGCACAAATTCATATGTGTATACATATACATACATATATATATATAAAAATATATATGTGTATTTGTGCTTTTTTGAATTCTAATCAACCAGCATTCCTGCCTGTGTGAAGCATAGACATAGCCTCACCCGCAGATAAGCTCACACTCCCAGATAGTCGCGTGGAATTCTCCAAACAGTCCGAAGTCTCCCGGCTGGTCTCGATGATCACATGGTATTGGCGCAGGGATTCAACCCCGGGGAAGTTAGGATCCTCAATGTACCGGTTGGCAGCTGTGCACCGGGCAATGAGGTCGTCAATCTCAGTCTTGGTGTAGCGTTTGCTGTCCTCCAGCTGGGCACGACTCCAGCAAACCGCCTTTGCCCCCGAGCGTTGTTGTTGAGTCCGTGTTCTTGCAACCTCCAGGGCCACCTGTGCGAAATCCCTCGACTTGTCCAACCACAAGTTGAACAACTCATTCCGATCGTTCATGCTGTTGAACATTGGCTGGAGTGAAGAAGGCATCTTGCTGGTGTTGCGGGCTGCCCTCAGAAATGCCATGTACTCAGTGCGGTGTGACGCTGAGGTTGCTTTCACTGCAGGTTGGGCTGTTTGAGGTGCAGGGGCAGGAAGTGCAACTGCCGGGTGCGCGGCGCTCCCTTCAACAGAAGCTGGTGCCACGTGCGCTGGGGGCACTGCCTGCACGGATGCCGGAGCGATGTGTGCTGGGGGCACTGCCTTCACTGGGGATGGGGGAGGTGCTGAAGCCTGCGCTGGGCTGCTGGCATGGGACACTGGTTGCACTGAAGCTGGTGCCACAGGCTGTGGTGCCACCACTTGCTCAGATGCGGGTGCCACAGGCGCATGCGGGGACACTTGCTCAGATGCGGGTGCCACAGGCGCATGCGGGGACACTTGGTCAGACGCGGAAGCCACAGGCTGTGGTGGGGACACTGGCTCAGATGTGGGTGCCACAGGTGCCAGTGAAGCTGGTTTCACCTGTGCTGGAAGCTCTGGCTGGGGTGCAGGCGGCGCTACAGAAGCTGGTGCCACCTGTGGTGGGTGCTCTGCCTGGGATGCTGCATCTGGCGCTGGGAGTGCTGTAGCATGTGCTTCGCCACGAGCTGGAGCATGTAGCACCCGCATGGCCTCTCGCTCCATTTGCACTGACAGTGCATGTGACCGCCCAACCCTACGAACCAAGTCCTCCCAACGTTCTTCCTCCTGAGCCGGCTGAGACAGACTTGGTGCTGCTTCTTTTGCCTTGCGGGCCAAGTCCTCCCAACTTGGTTCATCAGTTGTTTCAGCAGGAGCTGGGGTTGGATGAGGAAGGGGTGTAGTCTGGGATAGACCTGCTTCCTGGGTTGGCGCTGCCACTGGAATGTTTCAGGGGCGGCGGGTGCCTCTGCTGGGGCTGGGGCTGGAGGTGTTGGACGGTGCGGACTCTCGGTCCCTTCAAGTTGGTCGGCAAGCCACATCTCAAAATTGATAATGTCCTCGATAGGCTCCTCGTCTCCAAACTCGTCAGGAACCCCAATGTCAGCCTTCAAGTGCTCCAGGTAGCCCCCAACATCACCAAACTTGGGATGGGATTTTGCCAAGGCCACCCTCTTTGCGATGTCCTCATCACTGAGTTGAAACAAAGCGTCCCGGATTGCCACCTCCCTGGCCATCAGAAACTTCCTGCGCTCCGCGTGTTTGTTGGGAGGTGCGGTCCCAATCCCAAGTGGCCACGGCGAGGTAGGAGCAGGAGGACCTGCCACAGTAGCCGCATCATGAACAGCACTGTCAACAGATGAAGAAAGCTCTTCCATAGATCGCCCCCTCTTGGCTGGTCTCTCAGCAGCAGCAGCGTCCTCTTGCACTACTTTGCTGTAATGCATTTCCAGCTCCCGCTCAAGCTCATGCATTTCAGTATCAGTCATAGACGACACCGAAGCCGAAGAGGAGACCATCCCAGCTGTAGCACCAATCTTCTCCTGGGCGCGGTCAAGTGTCCGTTGAGTGTCTGGTCAAAACCCGTTCTTACACACAAGCGAAAATGAAAATCATTGCTTCCAGAACAAAGACAAAGGCTCAGCAAGATCAGCCCAGCTGACCCCGTTCAGGCTGGCAGCTAATTTGAACTTCTCCACCAAATCATCCATGCCCCCCCTTCATGGAGGTAGCCGAAGATGGAGATGCGCTGACAGCCGGAGAAGTCTGACAGGTTGTCTGGTACCGTGTTCGATCAAAAAACATCCTGATGTTCTCAGGAGTTGTGTGACGTACCTGTTCGACCTGTACCCCTGTTGTTGATGTAGAAGGAAAAGTGCCATGGTTGGAAGATTGGTAGCAGCGGGCAGGATTGAAAAACTCACGGATGTTTGCATGTGTAGTGTGCATCTCTGGTGGCTGACTGCGGGACATGTCTTGGTGTTGCTTATGGCGGCCATGACCCTCACATCGATATCGCTCCGAGTCAAAAAAACCAGTTGATGTCTTCCTTCGTAACTCCCAGTCCAGCCTGTTCACTGGGATGACGCATGCTCACGTCACCAGGAGTAGGCAGCCCCGTCGACATGGGTGTCAGATGGGTGTCAGAATGGCAACGATACCAAGGCGTTTGATACAAAAGGCGCTAACATCACACAGCGTGAACGTTCACGAGTTTTCACGGCACGTTCACGGAGTTTTCACGGCATCACGTTTTTTACAGGTTTTAGGGTTGCGTGACAAGTGTATCCACTCACATCTCACACATGCATCCCACATGACTATCCTTATGTGCAAATATGTGCAACTGATGCCAGACATCTCACACATGCATCCCACCTGACTATCCTTATGTGCAAATATGTGCAACTGATGTCAGACTGGTTCGACTGTGTTGGAATGGCCCACTCCCTGGCCTTCTTCAGAAAGCAGAGCCAAACACCGCTTCATGCGGCCCAGGCCCCAAGTCCTGGTGCGATGTGTGTGGAGCCACAGCTCATCGATGAGATGAGATTCAGGTGGTGTGGATTTTAAGGGGCCTCACTGCTAGGGCGGAGGCCATCACTCTGGGATGGAGGCCATCACTATATATATAATGGGGGCCTCACTACTAGGGCGGAGGCCATCACTCTGGGATCTACTAGGGTGGAGGCCATCACTACTGTGATGAATCCTTACATGCTGCACTGTCGTTCCACCCCAATGTGAAGGGCCTCCCCAGGTCCCCTCCGAACCAGCTGCATGTGATATGTTTTTTTTCATGATTCAGCATGAGCTGCATGTGTCAGGACACATGAATTTACTTACACGGAGGGGCCCAGCTTTGCATAGCAAAACAAAACAATCTTGAACAAGCGAAAAA